GCTGAACTGGGACACGGCATCCCGGAGGCAGTCTTAGTCAGTCACAGGTGTGAATTCCACCTGGATGGGGGCAGGGCATCCCAGAAGCATTCTGAGCTCAAGCCACAGAGTGAAGCCAGCCAGGATGGGGGCAGGGCATCCTGCAGACCATCTGAGTACAGGGGGCCCAGCTGGACCCTGCTTCGCTCACATGCCCTTTCCTGTGTGTGTGCACAGGGAAAAGGAGAGTTCTCCAGTGTCTCTTCATCTCCAAGGATACCAGTCGTACTTATCAGAATAGAGCACCACCCATATGACCTCATTTAACCTTGATTATCTCTTTTAAAAGCCCTGTCTCTCTTAATACCATCACATGGGGGTCTAGGGCTCCAACATATATTATAATTTGGTGAGGGGGAACACAATTCAGTCCATAACACAGGGGTCCACCTAGTGAGTGGCAAGGAATTTCTCAGAGAAAAGAATCTTTGTGAACTTGGCTGACGTTGGTAATCACGAGTGATGAGGAATCAGACTAGATTGGACTGGATGCAAGTTTTGGATGGAAAAGGGGCCACAGGTTAAACCTGACGAGCTAAGGAGAGTAAAACTAAGATGGCATGAACACACACACACACATTTTTAACTAAGTGGGCCATGGTGGGAAGTCAGCTTCCTCATTAACTTAATCTATGCCTTTTCAGTGGGCCTGTTCTTTGTCTTTTTGTACCTAAAATAACATCTTAGGAATGTCAGTAATCCATTTTCTGGACCAGAGCTGGAAACTGCAGAATTCCTCCTTATCATGCTTATCTCCTGATTACCATCTCTTTGTGCTGTAAAAAAACTGTTAGCTATCCTGCACCCACCTACGTAAAAGAAGAACCTGTCTCTCCAATTTACTTTTATCCAATCCCAGAGGTTTCCCAGCTTTGCTCTCTTCCACCCCCTTAATCTATTACCAATGGATTTCATGTAACCTTCCTCCTTTGATTTTATGTATAAAATAAGCTATAAAACGGCCATTCTTGGGAGCATTTTCTCAATCTGTTGAGATTTTGCTTCCCGGCAATTGTCAACAGTTTGGCTCAAATAAACTCTTATAAGTTTTCTCTTAGGCTGGATGTTTTTCGTTAACAAATTGTAACTATTATACAAGAAAAATCAATCAGGTAAGACTGGATATCTGAAGAGAGCCCTGTCAGATGTTGAAGTTGTGAAGTGTACCAGAGATGTTTTGAGCTAGAAATGAGAGAAAATTCAAAACACAAGAGAAAATCCAACTCACACTGGCTTAAAAACTAATTTTCTTCTTCCTGATACAAGACCTTGCCCTCTCACCCAAGGGAATCACATATGACCTGATGGGATGAATGCAATCCAAGTTTGTTGAAGTCATCTCCTTACAATTTTCTATTGAAATTGGAGGATTGGGGTCTTTCCTTCAGCTCTAGATGTGGAGCCATAAAGATGGGCCCTCGGAGCTGCTTGCAGCTTGTAGCCGTCATATTCCTACATGGTTTGTACTCTCTCTTTGACCTCGTCTCTGCACGTCCTCCTTTACTCATTTTGCCCACCCACACAGGCCTCCTTGCTGTTTCTCAACTCCAGGCATGATCTTGCTTCAAAGCTTTTGCACTGTGGACTTTTGAAACCTTTGTGTTCTCTTTAGAATACTTTTCCTCCAGACACTGAGTGGCTGACTCCTTCATTTCCTTCAAGCTTCTGCTTAAATGTTACTTTCTCAAAAGACCTATTATGACCACCCTATCCGAAACTGTGATCCTATCCCCCTCCACTTCTCTTTCTAAAAATTTTTTTCCCATAGCACCAACTTCTAACATGTTTATTATTGTTAATTATATTATTATTCACTGCTAGTTTCCCCTCACTAGGATATAAGTTTCACTAGGGAAGGGATTTTATTTTACTTTTTTGCTCATTGATGTGTCTCAGGTGCCAGGCAAATTAGTACTAAGTACCCAGTAAATATTAATATTTGTTTAATCAATGAATGTATTAATAATGAAATAAGCCCAACTAATATAATACCCATCTAATGAGTTTAAGAGGATTAGAAATTATGGATATAAAGTAAAGCACAAGTAGAATGTCTGACTCATAGTAGGTACTCAGATATGAACAGCTGTTGTCATTTTGCAAGGTGTCCTTTTTTTCAAAGAATTGCCAGACCTGGAGATAAGTTTCTATACCTATAAACAAAACAAGACTTATGAGAAACGGAAAGAAAAAGAAAAAGACTTATGAGTCACATACCAGGAAGTGATCTTTGGATCTTTATGTGCAGATATATACATTTCTTTCTTGAGCATTATTTTTATCAAACAAGAAAATCAATCTTTTGGGTCGGCCAAGTGGCACGTTGGTTAAGAGCTGGCTTGAGACGCCATCTCTGAGCAGCAGGGCCCTAGTTCAGATCCCACATGTGGGCCAGTGATGCTGTGCCCTCTATAGCTAAGATGGTGAACAACGGCTCGACCTGGAGCTGGGCTGCCGTGAGTCGCCGGCGACGGCATAGGCTGCAGCCCCTGCTGTAGTGGGCTGCCATCAGCTACCGTGAGTGGCCGGCAGCCAGTGTGAGCTGCCAAGAGCCGCCATGAGTGGACGTCCAGAGGCCAGCGACCAATCTACCTCACCTGGGAAAAGTGCAATGATCACAATACCAACATGGGCCAGTGAAGCAACATCCTCCACAACTAGACTGAAGAACAAAAGGACAGCAACTTGTCNAATTTTGGCTTGGCTTTGACATTTGGGCAGATGGAAAAAAAAAATGTCTTGAGGAGAATAGGTTCAGTAAAGAATAAAGGAATAAACAAAGGATCAGGGAGTGGTGATAGCTGGCATTGAGAACCAGCAGCACTGGTTAAAAAGGAAGCTGTGGAAAGATGTAAAACCACAAGGTTAATGCTGACAGAAACAAAATTGTCTACCTCATCTGGGTGGTGGAAGGTAGCTGGGAAAGGGCAGAGAAGAATCCCTTGGGAACATTCAAGGTTAGTAAGCAACGGGACTTAAATTGAATATATTGTCTTTTCTAGTCCTAACATGGTGAGGTCAGAGGAGAGCTAAGCACTCGTTTCTCTCAATAGGAGCACAAGGCCTGTGTCTAGAAGGTATTTGTTCCCAGGTTGGAGAGTGACTGGATGGATTAGGATCACCAGGACTGTACATAGAGTTAAATGAAGTGGCAAACTGGAAAAGCGTTCAAGTTTTACAGTCAGCTGTGAATCTTGATTCTGTCACTTACCAGCTATGTGACCTCAAGCAAGTAACCAGCCACCTTGTATAAATCTATGGCCCCTAGAAAGTAGGGGATTAGAGGAAAAATAATAAATATGGCATTCAATTGTGCTTTTTAATAAACAAAAACAAATAGAAAAGTAAAGTTCTCAAAAGCAACTGCTTTTGAGCAAACCCAGTTGATTAAACATAATACCCTTCATATTATATCCCCTACCGCCCAGGAAACCTTGCTGTCAGGGCAGACTTTCCCACAAGTCTTATAAACACAAGTTTTCAACCCAGCCATTTCCAAGTTGAAATGTAAGTTTTTCACACGTATGCTATTTATCTCTTGTTTCAGTTTCACAAGTCTTGACAACTGTGTCTTGTCTTTTCTCCAATTATTCTGGGACTTAAGGGTGTGGTCTTGTAGATCTGGCCCTTTGGGGCAGATATAGAGGGCAAGTATACCTCTCTAGACTTTCCCCCACGGGTTTATGGGACAAGGAAGCAATTTAAAAATTTGGGTTAACTAATATAAAATACTTTTATGTTGAAACTGCCATTAACAAGCAATTGTTGGCAAGAGCATGGATTTTTGGAGAGGGTTTGAATCCAGGTTTCATGACTTCCTAGCTGTGTGACCTTAGGCAAATCACTTATTTCTCTGTACCTCAGTTCTTACATCCTAATGTTATTGTGGTACTTAAATAAATAAATATTTGTAAATCCCTTATCAGTGCCTGGTACACAGTAAAGCGCTGTTTGCTAAGAATATTTTGCATGCCACTAGCCTACTTGTTCATACTGCTTGATAATTATCTGCCTCATTCTCCCTTTATCTATGGCGGGGTTGATAGGAAGGTGTATTGGTTTTAGTAGCTGTAGTGGTAGTTCTTTTACCAGTTAATTGCATGGACCAGGATTTATAGGGAAGTTTGGATCCTGCCCCAGAGTGATTCAAGTGAGGGAGAGATGCCTGCCATTTTCACAGGCTGTTACCACCAGGTAGTAAAAGTCCTTGATGATAAATAATTAATCAGATTGGCCACTTCCTTTCCTCTGGGCAGGGGGTTGAGATGGAGAGAGGGGTCGAGGATTCTTAGCGAGGGAAGTTTGAAGTCAGCTCCTATATGGAAACCTGAAGCTAGGCTAAGAATACACAGATAGGCATCCCCAGGACTCTCTCCCTGCCCAGCAATACTGTAGAACTTGTGGGGGGAGAGGGGCTGTCACTTTGTGAGGGGTGAAAAGGATAACTATTGCATTGTTTTGTACACCTGAAACGAATAATAGTAATAAAAAGGAAAAAAAAATACTGTAGAACTTGTAAAATGCAAGAAGGCACTTTCACATCAGATTTGAAATCATTCCAAGGTCTTCCATTTCAGCTTCTTGCCCATTTTCCTCTTAATTGGGAAGATGCTGGCAGCCTGATGGCCTTTTAGGTTTAAGTTTGGGGTATATGAAACACAGGTAAGCCTGGGGTACTCATTTGGAGGAAGGTACCCTTACTTCACCATAAGAGCCCCTGCTCCAGATGGTGGCTGAACTTCCACGGGTCCTGGGCATGCTCTTTGCTCGCGCTTGCTCTTATTAGCACCACCCTTTGTTCTGCGGCTCCCTGATCAGTTTCGCGTAAACGCCGGGGCCAGGATTAGGACCATTGGACTGTCATTGCGCCTGCGCGGGGGACCAGGTGGCTGAAGTGGCTAAGCTGTCTGGCCCCAAGGTCTGAGCTGTCAGTGCGCCTGCGCGAGAGGCCAGTCGGCTGGCAAGGCTGGGCAGACTCGCCGCCAGTGTAGGGCTGTCTGTCAGTACGCTTGCGCGCGAGCCAGGCACCGCGGTTCTTGAGTGTGCTGTGCCGGGCGCGCTGGGTGTAGCCATGCAGAAAGCCGACTCCGAGCGAACTCCCAAACGGCCCCGTCTTGCCAGCCCAAGAACCCAGCCAAGCACCCCTTCCGCTGCGGCACAGGGGTACCCCGACTCCGAACTCCCCCACAACCACGAGACATGGGACTCGGAGCAGGTGTGCGAGTTTCTAAAGAGCCTTGACCTCCGTGATCCGGTACTGCTGGACTACATCCGAGGTAGCAGGGCTAGAGGGCTTGGGGGGCTGAGGGACTGCGCGCGACCCGAGGCGCGGACAGCAGGCCTGAGAGAGGGCGCTCTGGGGCAGTGAGCGGAGGCCCTCCAAGAGGAACCAAAGCGGAGAAGGGGAGACCTGACGCGGGAGGCACCCGAAGGGGTGGACCTGAGGTGGGGGGGCCGGGAGCCCAAGGAGGGATGACCTGAGGCAAAGAGCCCTCCAGAGAAGGGCGCCTGAGGCGGGAAAGGGAGACCTGACATGGGAGACACCACAGTGGGTGGACCTGAGGCAGGGGGCGTCTGGCGCGGGTTGGGGACCCTGAAGAAGAAAGCAGACTTTGGGGAGTGTGAACCTGAGTGGGGCACTCGGTCTGACCGGTGGGTTTCTTCAGGACCTTGCCACCACAGCGCTGGACAGGCGAGACTCAGGTCCCTTTTTTAGTTGGAAGAACGTTTTCCCCAGACTTTGGTGGGAGGGTTGCTGTCTTTCAGGCTCACCTGTGCTATGCAGCTCCTTGAACACTTGCCCGGTTCAAGTATATTTGGATGCTTTTAAGTTTCTGTTTCCTCCACAAACCTATCTACGCGCTTCCCGAAACTTGGGGATTTCCTAAAGGGGAAGAAGGAACTTGTTGCGCCAACCTCTAAATCATCTTCGCCTGCCATTGCATCCCCAGATAGGGCTCAATACATGTCTGTTCACTCTACTTGCAGAGCTTGGTAATAATCATGTTTTCTGGAACAAAAGCAGTTCCTTTTTCTAAATCTGGACACTGAACCCCCAGTTGACCACTGAACTCCCAGCAGAGCCCATAGCTTGGCCACATAATATGGGGAAGTGAGCAGGTTGTGAGTTTTAAATGGCTTTACTGTTCGCTTGAAATTCACTCACGCCGGTAATGGGTGTGAAACTTACCCAGCCTTGTCCTCTGAGGTGTTCCATAGGAAGATGGTGTGATTTGCATATTCTGTAAACTTTTGCAGTTGTTGAGGGGAGCCCTGTTTGCCTAGGATGGGGGACTAAGGTGTGAGGAACTTGAGTGGTTCAAGACTTAAGGATAACTTGATGGGTATAGAAATTGTACTTTTTTTTTTCTTTCCCCCTTTTATTTTCCTCCACTGCTGGGATGGAATTTTGTTTTAATAGCAACAGATGGGGCTGAAGTAGTTTCATATTTTCTGTTACCCAAATGTGATTGGCTATGTTGGCTCTCTGTTTCAGTGGTGTTCTGTAGATTAATTCATCAGCCTTCAGAATGATCTGTTCTCTTGAGCCCACAGTCTGATGCTAATAGAAGACACTGCCAGCCTTTAATTGGTAAAAACTGACCAATTGCTCATTTCTTACTGTCTGCTTTGTCTTGACCAAACTTTAGTTAGGCTTCTTTCTCTCCTATAGTCCCCTGAACTCTTGCTTGCCTCCAAAACTGAGCAAATACTAAAAAAGTGGAATATGCCCCTTGATCAGCTTCTCCTGGGAACCAGCTGACCACAGCAGAACACTGTCCTGTCAGACCCCACTGGGGTCACTTCCCTCTCCATACGCTATGAAAAAACAACAACACCTTTTTCTGTTTGATTTAGAGCCGTTTGTAGATGTCTGAGATTGGAATACTCTCCCTATTGCAGTATTTCTCATTAAAGTCTCTCCCTATCTGAAGCTCAGATTTTTTTAATTTATTTTTATTTTATTTTATTTTTTT